GCTCACTGCATGAAAAGGCGCGAATATGAGGCGAGTGGGCAAACATGATATACAATAGCATATATAACAAATTCCGGACGTTGAAACGGTGATTGTTTGGCCTTTTGGTCACTTTCGCCCCTACTGAGACTACTCTTGTTCAACCAGACCTTTCAACATGGATCCAAGATCAAACATAATATAGAGACCACCAATTCCATGATTGGATTTCTTAAATAGTATCTACCTGCAGGTCATGTTGGTCATGTATTTGTGGCTTCACACCAGAAATAGACCAATCCGCACGCAAATAAAAGATACAGAGGCCAAGCTCCCATCCGGAGACACCTCGGGTGTCCACCGGCACAACGCGACCGCGCACAAAAAAAGAACGTGCCAAAAACACCGCCACACCGCGCACGGCCGGGGAGCTGTTGGTCAGGTTCCACAACAGTTTCAACACGGCGAACCCCGCCCCCTGGCGCAGAGGGTCCGCGTTGGATGTGTCGGGTCCGGATCCCTCCGGGGAGGTTAGTTGCTGAGTCAGATTTGAGAAGAAGGGGGGGGATGACCCGGTGCTGGGTTTTATTTGGACCCGGTCAAGGAAGATGGAGGTCAGTTGTTGGGGAGTTAGGAACCGAATCGAAAAGAACCACACAGCGTTGTGGAGAGGAAACTGGAAGGGTTCTTGTCAACGACATGTTTGCCCAGCTGCACAGAACTGGCACAGCAAACTTCCTGCCCATTCCTGGTGGAGCAAACGCCCTGTGTGAGATCATTCTACAGGGGCTCAGACCCAGAACTCGCAGGAACCCTGACTTGCATCCACAGATCCGATGGCTTCGAGCCATCAACGTTTCACAGGTGAGTTAGAGGAAAGTGACATCCCGAAAGACCCAGAAGCCGCGGTGTTCGTGGTCTCAGCCCCCGTTTTTCGGGACCGTAACCCGGGGACCGTAACCCGGGAACCCGGTTGAGCCATCCTTCCACCTGTGACATCGCTCCGTTCCCGCGAATGGGCCCGACTTCGCCACCACGGGACACCCGAAACACCAAAAGCCGAGTTCCGAAGCCCGTGTCGCCGTCCGCGTGAACCGTCCCTGGATGCCCCAGCAAAAACCGAGCTGCGAGAAAGGCCTAAGTGGTGTGAAGTCATCCGCCCTCGCCCTCGCCGTTCGACCATTCGAGAAAAGCCATGGGAACGACCTGATGTTGTAAAATTATTAGGCCCTAAGGATCCTTGGACCCTCCTTAGAAGGGGTTGAACCCTCTATAACAAGGGTTTGTACCCTCAAAACCCTTGTTTTTGAGGGTGCGGATCCTTAGCGGGGTACATGACATCAAGGTTGAATTGATTTGAACTGCCAGTTTGGGCATCCCTCCGGCGCCCGTCACGAAACCGGGGGATGCCGTCCGCCTCGCCGGACATGGACCGCTACGAATCTGTCCGATCTGGCTCCAGCCCGCCCAAAGATGGCGAGTACCTTCGGCCCGATCACATCATGATGCTCATGGGTTTGGAACTGAACCACCGGATGGGTTGTCACAGTTACAACACTATATATAGGTCGGTCATGGACTTCCAGGGTGAAGAGATATTTCGAAGATTCCAACCGCCCACCCAGGATTTAAGGGTTTTGAAAAAATCGGAACAACCAGGGTTTTACTACCTGGACCCTCTAAGGGGTGCCCAATGGAAGCCTATAGGTAGTGTGGAGTAGTCCAGCCAGGACACCCCTTCAAGGGTCCTGGTAAGGAGCTTTAACCCTAACAAAGCCAGGTGTGTTCCCATTCTTATGAATGGCTCTCCTTTTGGTTGGCTACCGCCCGACACGATCGCGCCATGAAGGGCACCCACCGTTGCCCCAGAAAAAGGACCTGACGGTACCGACCGACGCGCCTCTTTGCTCTCGGACCGTTCTCCTTTGGTCTGGGAACCACGAAAACCCATCTTCGAAGTCTGGGTTAAACCTCGAGTTCACCTCCGGTGGATGGGCACCTGGGGGAACCCACCTGGTCCGGGACCTCGTCCACCGACCCTCGACCTGTCCGGTGACCCGCCATGGCACCGGCCTTCGGGGTGAACGACGAGAGCGAGAACGGATGGTCAGGCGCAGCGTTCGCCTAACAAGAGCCGTGTGGTTGGGTGGGTCCACCATTCCTCTAAAGCGGGGTGGGAGGAAGCACAAGAGGTTAGCTATATATATATATATGCAGCTTGTGCTACGTGCCAAAACGGTACCGCAAAGCCGTTCTTCGCGTCACACCCACCACTGTGGGGACGCTCCTCCCGGGGGGCTTCCCCGGGTGCTGCAAAGCGTCCTGCCAGGCGCAGCGGCGAGATCCGCGGCCGCTCTTCCGCCCTCCGTCGAACCGAACCGGGCGAACGGCGCGGCGGCCTCGGCGCGGACGAGCTGCGCGGCGACGACGGCGCCGGTCCCTTGGTGGGGGTACCTGAACTGCGCGGTGCTGGCGGTGGCCTTTGCGTATCCCTTCTTCGCGGTGGTGGACACCAAGTCCGAGGACTCCGACTTCACGCCCTGCGACTTGGTCGTGTGATTTTTGGTGGGAGGTCAGGTCAGTTCAGGACCCGGTGGTTTTTGTTCGCTTTGGAACGAGCATGGGTCGCGAGGTTTTTTGGGGTTTTGGGCCAGTCTTGACTCAGGGATTTGGCGTTATTGGCGATGTCCGAGGACAGCTCCCCTCTTCTGACTTCGGTGCACGCCAACGAACGGCGCTGGTTTCTGGCGGGGGGGGTGTTCGGGATGTCGAATCTTTGGAACCCAGGCACCGCCCAGACATGGAACATGCGGGGGGTGGCTCCAAAAAACATGTTGATTGAAACCTGGGCCCAGACATGACCTGTTTTGTTTGGGACTGCCATCTTTGCAGTGCATGGGAGGGTGGATTGAAAAGGGCTCGAGATCTGGGGCTAGTGCATTGGGTTGAGTCCCTCGTCTCTAGCCGCCCCCCCTCCTTTCCAAACATCTTCCGTCTCATCATTTTATCTTGTTGGTGTTTTTTGGGAAAATCGATGCCTGCAGGTGATGAGAGCTGCACCTTCGTTCAGTTCATCGGCTACTGCGACAAACATTTGCCTCCCACCTTCCCTGCAGCCCGGCGACGGAGGGTCCCCAGGACGGTGGGACGGTGGCGAAGGTGGTGGTGGATAGGCTTGGCTGGTGAGAGTCCTTGGCTGGTGGGATATACCGATGCGATTCCAGTTGACCGGAGGTTGGGAAGTCCAAAAATCCGAAAGAAGGACTTCTTGGAAGTCAAAAAGGAGTCGCCCTCACAGTGGCAAGGTTTGCGACCTTGAAGTGACCTGAAGACAACTCTAAGACATGTGTAACCAACCCTTGGACAGTTCCCCAAAAGAACCAGCCACGTGTCACCACTTCAAGAAGAAGTGGAACGAGGGCTTTTGTTGTGGCTGGCTCGGCTGGTGCTGCTTGCTCCTCCAGCATGGTCGTCAGCCCCCGAGGGATGGTGATTGGTTATCATTTGGGCCAGATGCATCCTCCCAATGTTCCTACACAAGAAATTGAAACCTAGCCACAACCTTGCCATCTGTACGTGGTTGGGCTGAGATCAGCTTCCTGAACAAATGTTCTGGGAGGAGCTCTTGGACATTGGAAAGAAACACCTTGACTGGCCAGAAAAAGCCTTGAACATCAAAATGCTGCCCAAGGAGAACGTGGAGAAGAGTGGCGGTTGGATCCATGAGAAGCACATCCCCAGGGTCTTTCCCGTCTACGTCTCGGTGCAGAACGGAGGGAAGATGGAGGCGGAACTCGTTCACTCGGGCGTTCAGTCTTACAAAATCCATCAGACTCAAATCTCCGGGGAGTCGGTCAGACTATAAAGAGAATGGTCTGACGAACGGGGAACTGAGTTCGGGAACCTTCCTTTACGTCCAGTCGGTCAAAATCTCGTCCAACTGGACTTCTAAGGGAATAGACCGCTTCGGGTCCAAAAGTCGGGTCCAGCCGCAGTCAGGCTGCATCTCCTTCGCATTTGGTCAAGCTTTCCGCCCCGGTGAGGGCCCGAAGGTGGCACAGCTCGACTCGACTCGAGCCCTATCAAAGGTACCAACAATAAACAGAGAAACCAACAGGCGCTGGTTTGAGGGGCAATCCAAGTGTCGTGGCTGTGGGTCATGGCACCAGGACCCTGGGCCAGACCGAACACACGACCACCACCGGGCTCCGGGTTTTGACTCACAGTCACTATATGGACCCCACAGACACCAAGGACATGACGGCGACAGCGGCGACAACCCATCTGGAAGCTTTTTTGGTCATCATCGGTTGTCCTTCGTCTTGTCCTTCGTCTTGTCACCGTCCATCAGATGTTTCTGTCAGGCCATGTCATTGGGCCCCTACATCCATGAAACACCATAAGCTTGTTGCCACATCCATCGAAAGCCAAGGTTTTCCACCAAAAAGAAAGACTTCCATTTCAGGTCACGGCACCGCTCTTCCGCACGGCACCGCTCCTTCTTCCGCACGGGACGCTGATCCTCCCCCCCCCCACGCCTGGCGTCGCCTGAAAGGAGGAAGAAGATGGACGAAAAAATGGGAAGACCCGAAATGAACCTGCTCCTCATCAGAGATGGGGAGAAAAGAAAACGAAACACTCGGAACATCCACGGGGTCCAAGTCGCTTCTTCCCCGCAAATCCACGTCTTCTTTGATCGGATCGGAAGACGACGAGCTCCCAGCCTCAGCCGCCCTGCACGGCCAGGCGCGTGGGCCTCACCTCTACTTTCAGCACCTGAGCTGAAACCGCGAACTTCTGGACCTGGTCGGACACGGCGAACGCAGCGGGCCGCACCTTCTTGGGAGTCGGAACCACAGGGGTTCCAACTTCACCGAAAGGCATGACACGTTCTTGCTCGCTACTAGGTTGGAGGCCATCGCTAGTTGTGAAACATGTCTCTTTCAGAGCTATTCAGTGGCCATGATATCAACATAGCTTTCAAACTCAAGACTGAGAAGAGTGGACAGGAATTGGCCTCTGGCATTCTTTGCAGAACCACACACACTCCTTGCCAATGTCTCTTGCAAAAAAATCGTTTCAACATGTTTCAACCACACATGGGACAACGATTCCCCCTGGTATTCCTTGCCACTCGTCGTGATGACCCATTGTGTCACCTCGTGAAAAGACACATGCTGACGAACTGAACGAGAATGATGAAGAAGACCCATGGCGGCCATCGCTAGTAGGTCGCTCGAAGGAAAAGGAATGAGCCGCAAGCCGCAAGCCTCACACAGTGTTCGAGTCTTCGAGGCCGAACAGATCAGATGTTGGGTTTTCACGGACTTGTCAGGGAATGGCTTGAGGGTCTCAAGTGACTTGAGCTTTTCCATCTCTTGGGTTTTTGGACCTTGTTCATGTCTCCTGAGACTCAGGGCTATGCGTATTGCACGTCTCGTGTTTTTTTTTGAGCGATCGAGGTGTGCGTTTC